TTGGGGAAGATGAAGGTGGAAAAAGTCTGAGAATTTGGCTAAGTACGGGTTTTATAGTTGGGAAAAATCAAAAGGAGAAGAAGGAAGGCCGTCGGATTAAAGCTAGATCGTGCGGCGGGGATATTAAATGGCACGGTACTCCAAGCGGGCGCGTTAGGCGAGGGGGCGTCATCATTAAAGTGTCTGACACATACGGAAAGGTGGGACGCGTGGCGAAAAAGTAGGCGCGACAAGAAAGACGTGGGACAGATAGCTTTAAAGTCTGGAAATTAATGTTGAATTATTCAAAAGAATGGGCGGGAAACTTATCAGCTGGTCGATATCCGGTGACAAGCCACCAGAAGGTCGATAAACATGAACTCACTCTTAGATCGAGTCATTCAGACTCGACCAGAGTGGGGGGACTAGATGATATAGGATATTATCTGTATAAAGACGAGCCGATTTGGTGAGCCGGTCGAGAAGGGCGAACCGGAAGCGAACCGAGCCGAAAGACGGGAGTCCACGTGATCGAGCGGCCTAAGGCTCGACCACACAAGTGATCGAACAACCCGAGGCTTGACTGCACAGGTGGTCGAGCATCCCGATGCTCGATCAGACTGGTCGAACTACCCGCTAATCGACCAGACTAGTGATCGAGCAAGCTGAGTGATCGAGCAAGCTGACCGACATAGGCCCAGACGCGTGCATGGCAGACGCGCGTGAAGGTCTCTGACTGAGCTGCAGGAGAATATTTACCCCATGTGCTGGGTGGACACGTGTCGGCAATGTATTGGGTGATAGCGATAACCACCTCTGACAACGCCCAAACGTCCCGCGGCACCCCTGACATGTGCGCGGCGTTTCAGAGTACGGACGGGCAGCTTGGGCAGCACACGTATCCTTATCCGGGCAGCTATTAGGGCAGGTATCTCACCCCTATAAAAAGGGGATGAGCCTTTCTTCCTTAACACATTCTATTCATTCTCTAAATTCCAGTATACTCATACACATACTGACTTAAGCATCGGAGGCTCTTCACCGGACCCAACCCCCGGTGTGAGAGTTATTTGCAGGTTCTCGGCGTTCTACCGGCAAGGACAAGAATCGATCTACTCCAGACCGGACTCGGACGCTTACACTTGCATTACCTTCCCCGGCAACGGCGCCAAATTTGTTGTGTAAAAATTGTTATTTTTACCGAGTACCGAATCAAAAGATTCGTTCCCCGGGTCGATCTCACGAGGAAGGCAGTTCGGAATCTAGAAATGGTATTGACAACACATAAAAGCAAAATAAATCCTAAACATACTAATCGGATAAAGGGAGTGAATAATTATCAACTAAGAAATGAATAACAATTCAAAAATGTAAATCTACCTAACAATATGAATGGAATGAAGATGGAGAAGCTAGGGAATCAGGGATAATTAATTCAAGTTCTAGCAAAGTCGGGCAATCAATTATTCGGTTCGAGATTGACACTCTCGCTTATACATCTAGCGGTTCGCTCCCAATAACTCTTCGTAACAAGGGAAGTAACATAGACGAACAAGCTCAAACATACAAAACAGGCCAATGATCCCAGTCCCAGTAACTATTCGTAACAAGGGACGAGTCATCGACAAGCTCATATTACAATCTAAAACACATAGATTATTCAATTACGAAATCATCTATCTCATGCGAGCCTATTTCTACGACTTCTCCCCTTTCGGTTACGAAAGCTGCTAAATCAATTAGAAGGTGTTTAATCAACTAATCATATAGAATTGACAAACCCTAACTCGACAAACTAACATCGAACTGTCACCAATAGCAAGATCGAAATGTCACTTTTCGATTATATCAATCTATCGAATACAAATTCATCAATTCCTTATCGAAACAACGCACATAAGAATGAACAAATCAAGCCCGACAATTACACAATGAACAAGAACAATAAATCCCCTATCCCTAGCACAAAAGATCAGCTACGTAGAACGAATCCAAAATACATAATCATTCTTCTCAAACCAACCATTATTCATGAGTTAAATAAGAGAAAGAAATACTTACAATTAATCCAAGTTCAAACGTTGAATTCGTAATACAAGCTTAATCCGAAAAAAAAATGAAAAATAAAGATAAAGAGAAGAAGAAAGATGGAGAAGAAGAAGAGAGGAAGAAAGGTTCGTGGTTTTTCTCTCGTTCTCTCGGGACCT